TAATTGACATTGATTGGAACTGACCATCCTTCAGACGTCACTTACAAGCACAATCCTGGGTTCATCCAGCCGAACAGACAATCAAAAGCACCAGACTCGAGTTTCGCTTTTATTAGACTTCATCGGTACTTCATATCCATCATCCCGTGCGGGCTTTGAACTCCAGACACATAGCACGGAAGGCGTGTGTTACCACGGTGTTAACCTGTTCATCATGGCTGAACCGGATTGTTGAGGATTGTGTGTGAAGGCGAAGTCTGAAAGATGATCAGGTCAAATGAAGATCATGGCTGTCCTAATCGATCGGTTTGCCTTGCTCAATGCTCACTCCGATACAAGTATTTGACACGTGTACATGAAACCGACAAACATTTCGTACCGAACACGCTCCTTTTGCTATCTTGCTATTGCTAAACCTTCAGTGATCAGGTTAGAGACCAAGATGACTGCCGTGATCTGTGAGTGTGACCAGTACGATTTGTCACATGCCGGGTATGAGTAGCAAAAACAATGCTGGGCAAGATAATGAAGAAGTTTATCTCGCATGTCCTGTTTTTCCCAGCAGTCTCATTTGTTGGAAAATTGCTGTCTGATGGTCCAAGTCAGTTTCGGGCTTTAGGCACCTAAATCCAAACCCGTCCACCACCACCACCAACATCCTTCTTTGGTGGTAGACTGTTTTTCTGTCATCCGGATCAGCAGGATACCTATCCCACTGTAAGCCCTTAGGTTGTCGATTTTCACAACTAAAGAGCAAGCTTTCGTGACTATGGCATCCATGCTTTCTGTTATTCATCACAATGCGGTGCGGATTGAAATGCCAGTAACAGATGTCATTATTGATTACGAAGAGCATCTGTGCCAGTTAAATAATAGTAATCACCATTGCGCTTTCGGGTTTAGACTCGGTGAATGAGTGCAGGTAGAATCTCCGTTTTACTTAAAATGATTCTGAATTGACAAAAAATTGAATAAGGAATTAATTGACGGACTACTCCAGACAGACAAATCTTCCCTGTCTGGTTCGAGCCTTTGAGCGTTCCGCTGATGACAATACACGCCGAATGAGAATGAAACAGTCATTGTTT